CATCTATAAATGCGCTGTTCAATAATTTAACGTGCAGAAACGTAATAATTCGTAGTATGGTTGTCACAGTTTCAATACGTGCAGCACTTAAAGCACATGCAGCTGCACTCATGCCATACAATGCATGCACAACAGTAACCATATTTATAATTGTGAATTGGTTCATGTGAACGTGCAAACGTGCCTTTTCGTCCATGAAGTGTTCCAACGCTAAATAACTGGGTTAATTACCAGTATGAACAAGTGGCGGTTGGACGTAATTTAGTGTTGGCTTGTCGCACGCAGTGTCGTTAACAGCAACACAAGCAAAGCTATGAAGCCAAACTGCATCCACTTGATTCTGCGGTTTCGCAGATACTCAGCTTACGCTCAAACGAGTGCACTAGCTAATTGGCCGCTTCACCTTACTTGACCTGTCTCGTTACTATAATAAACGAGCTATCCCTATAATCCGTGCCGGGAAGATTAAATATAGTTAGATGTGCAGATTATAAGGGTTTGGCATTTAAGTGCTCTCAGGAACTCGGAGTTTGGTCTCGACTTTTGTCCACCTGTGGTTGACATGGCTTTCGCGCGTTTTGCGTGCAGATGATGATACCACGTGTTGCCGCATATATCCGCCCGCGCTGGTATTTCGATGTACTCGCAGCACCTGTCAACGTTGGACGGAGAGTGCCTGAGAGCAAATAAGTGCCAAACCTACCTCCTTTAACAATGGGCATGATGCTCGATCATGGTAATGTGTGAGATTTGTGTGAATTCGTTTATTGAATGACCACGGAAGGCGATCGAGCGCGAACCGTGCATGCAATATTATATTATATGCTACACGTAAATAATCTTAAACATAGACACAGACGATTACGGACAGTTACCATTCTGAAAGTGTGTATGGGGAAGGAAGGTAGCGCGCTACCGGTGATAGTGCGCTGCCAGCGTGAATGAGTCATGTCGATACCGCCTAGCTGTTTTACCTGACCTTTGCCGACCGATAATTCTTGCTGCTGCTGCAAAACTTCAAAAGTTCCCAAATAGTGGCATTGCAGGTACATGCGCTCTCGCAACAGAGTACGCGCACACGCACGCGCGCGTACATGCGGGTATGGACGCCCAGATAGGTACAAAGACCCGAGGCGTGTTCAGGAGACCGAACGCTCGCGAGCGCTCGCGAGCGCTCGCCTTCTGAACGGCACTGCGCGAGCGAGCGCTCGCGAGCGTTTGAGAGAGAGAGAGAGCAATCAGCGTGAAGCAATAATAGCAGCGTGACGTACCGTCTAAATATTATATCACACGATAGCCAACTCTCCCGTTCCCCTGTTCTTTATTCTCTCCACCCCTCCTCCCTCCTCCCTCCTCCCTCTCATTCTCTCACGCGCCGCTGAATCTCACTCGCCACTCACCTCGCCCCCATCTCACCCTCCCCTTCGCTTTCCCTTTACTCTCTCAGTTTCGCTTCTTTTCCACCCTATCTCTTTTTCTTCTCCTTCCCTCCATTTCTTACCTCTTCCCATCTCCTCTTCTACGCCAACATGTCCTCTCGCCCCTTCCCCCTCTCCCAGTCTTCCCTTTCTAACAGCGCGGTGTTGTGTGAGTCATTCGGATGAATAAAGAATGCAGGGATGTGTTGAACCGTTGATAAAACCATGATGCTAACAGCTCCTAATTACATGGGAGTTAGTGAAGGCGTGAAGGGCGAAGGAGGAGAGGTGAAGGAGTGAGGGAGTGAGGGGTGAGGGAGCGAGGGGTGAGCGAGTGAGCGAGGGAGTGAGGGGTGAAGGAGGAGAGGCGAGGGGGAGTGGGGAGGGATATGGGGATAAGGGGGAGATGAGAATAGGGTAAGAGGAGATAGAGAATGGAAGTGTGAGAGCGAGAGAGAGGGAGGGGGAGGAGAGGGATGAGAGAAAGTGTATTGTGGATCACACAGCGACGTATCTCCGGTCAACGTATCAACCTAGCACCTAGCTATCATGACCACTATATTACGCACAAACGTTGTCACACGCACACGCACACGTACGCACGCACGCAGACACACACACTTTCGCATGCACACGCACGCACGCATGCACACACATTCGCACGCACACACACATTTGCACGCACACACACATATTCGCGCGCACACACACACGCGCGCACCCACGCACACACACACGCACGCGCACGCACGCATGCACGCACGTACACACACACACACACACACACACACACACACACACACACGCACGCACGCACGCACGCACACACACACACACACACACACACACACACACACAGTCAGACAAACATCCCGCTGTCATGTTACGCCGCGGGTTAGCAATTCAAGTATATTATTCGCCGACAAGCGACAACAACAACAGCAGCTACGATGTTAGGCGAGAAATGGGAACGAAATTAGAATAAATTGTCGACATGTAATTGATTAACGCCACGTGACAGCCGCTGCCGTTACCGCCGCTGCCGCATGATCGGCGGCTACGACACCGCCAATCGTAGTGTAACCGCTGCTGGACCGGTCACCGGGCACAAGTGGCGCTGAACACATTTCGCCCATCATTCACGACATGCAGACCAGACAGCTCGAGGATACAATATTACTATTACGAAAAATTCGTCTTGCAATCATCACCAATTAAAACATCATAAAGATATTAGTGACGACGCATTTTTACCATTACTAATAGTATAACTATTTATTATGATTAATATTTCTAGATAATCACAATGCATATAACTGTATTATCACTATTATGTTATTTTATTTATTTAAAACAGTGTCACATCATTACAGAAACATGTTCGAGGAATTTGTTTACAATGCTTTGATGGATGGATATTAGCAAAATAAATCGTCACAGAATACATTCAATTAAACATTGATTTCACAGTGTATTTCCTCGTTGCATGAGTCTGTCTAACGCCAGCAGCTACATCATGCTAATTGATGATGGAACACGGTGTAATATGTTTTACACGCTATATACCAATCACACGCACAATACTCTAGACGCGTGCCTCATCGTTTATTAGTGAATCATGTTTTCGGGGAAGAGCGAGAGAATCTGCCTGTGGGGCGTTGATTAATTTCTGAGGGGAGTGACTCATCACGAGTAGCGGTAATGAGAATGCTGTCGATTTGCCGTTAGTGGTCGGGTTGGTATTAAAGTTTAAATAGGACTAGGGTCAGGGTTAGGGGTAGTGTTAGTGTTGGAATTAGGGTTAGTGTTAGTGTTAGGGACATGCTTAGTGTTAGGATTAGTGTTAGGGTTGGAATTAGGGTTAGTGTTGGTGTTAGGGTCATGCTTAGTGTGAGGGTTGGGGTTGGGGTTAGTGTTAGGGTTATAGATAATTTCAGGGTTGGGGTTAGAGTTATGTTTAGAGTTTAGATTGGGTTTGGGGTTAGGGTTTGGGTAACTAACCTAATATATATATATATATATAATAGTATATTTTACATAAGGAACGGGGCACCTAACTGTTAACATACATGTGCGGTAGCAGTGCATATCGCATAAGTGTGCAACCATTGCCTACTATCACTTAGGCGCCCCGGGCGGCGCCCGCCCCCGCGCCGGAGCCCAGGGTGGTACAAAAAAAATTCTTAAACTGGTTGCCCGGAGGCAAAAGTCACTTGACCGAAAAACATAAAGAAATACATAAGATTTTTTTCTAACATGAATTTAAATGGTAAATAACGTAAATGAAGGTCCAACTAGTCAACATCCAGCATTTCACGGTAGAAAGTTACGCAACGGTAGAAAGTTGAACAGCTGATACGAGTTTGTATACAAAATATATTCATGTTATGTTGGAACACAGCACGCAGTTTGTTTACATTTTTTTATTTTTTAAGTGTCAGTTTATTATCAAAAACCCACCACACTCACAATAAATTAATAAAATATGTTCATGTTTATTTGGGGCTGGATCGTAGAGAATATAAGCGCAGAGAATATAGCGGCGCATGCAAGCAGATATAATAGACCATAGATATATACAACATATCTATGAATAGACTGACAGCACAGTATACAGTGTATCTGTTTTTGTGTACTTCAGCAAAGAAAATCCTCGTTCACAGGTTGCAGTAGAGGGGCTGATCACGTAACGACCATATGCCTGGCCTGGGGGCCGGGTTTACATGTTGCTGTGTGCATGTTGCGTACATCACTGTATGCACCGATTGTTTCATTCGCGCTGTGTTTTTTTCATTCAAATCTTGTTGCAGCAAGGCAGCGCGATGTTGTGTCTGTGCAAAACAATGCAAAGGACAGATGGAAACAGAAAAATATCATTATGTCTTGTCTAGACATTCAATAAAAAAAAACTTGCTTGCCCGAGCGGGCAAGTGCAATTTCAAGCCACTTGCCCGGGGGCGAATTTTGGTTGCCCCGGGCAAGCGGGCAAGCGGTTGGTTGCCCCGGGCAAGCGGGCAAGCGGGTTTGTCGCGCCCTACGGTTGAGTGACTATATACCTACTACTTGCTGGTATTGCAGCAGTGTACATATAGTATGAGTGCGTAACCTTCACCTACTATCACAATTCCTGCTACTTGCTGGTTAAAAATCGCAATATACTATCCAATTCAAAATGTCACTCAAGTTCAGACTGCTGCAATAAATAGAAGACTAAAATGATGCAATGTTCATCCGAATATTTTTTATTTAGTTTAGGTTTCAGATACCAGTTCGCTAATAAAATGTTCTCATCTCTGCTGTGACGCTGTCTATTATATGTTTAATTAGTTTAGGTTTCACAGTTTCCAATTCGTTAATAAAGTGTCCAACCCCCGTTGTCTATTATATTATACTTTGCCAAAAAATGCTAGACATTCTATAGAATACCTAGGCATTCTATTAAAATCCCTAGGTAACATGAATGAAATAAGCTTATTTCATACTTTGCCCAAAAATGCTAGACATTCTATACAATACCTTAGTTTCACACAATGCCGGTACTTACATATAGTATTGAGTGTGTAATTTATAAACAGTGCCTACCTGGTACTTGCTCGTTAGAGTGCTCTGCACAGCACTGCGTGCCACGTACGTGTCCTTGACGTCGTGGTCCGGGTACAGGGTCAGCAGGATGCCCGAGATGACCTTGACCCTCAGCGAGGCGACGGCGACCTTGTCGTTGCCGACGCGCAGCTCGCGCGCGCCGATGACGCGACCCGTCAGGGGGCTGAGAACCTGCGGGGATGATCGGGATGATTGAGACACGCGGCAAGGGGACGACGCTGGCGCAGGAAATACGTCGCGAAAAATAGGGAAAATACCGCTGGCACATATAATATCGCTGCTATATATTCGAACATATAATATGCCGCACGAAATATCGCATATAGGTATCGCTGGCACATAACATAACGCTCGTACATAACATATTGCCGGTACAGAAAACAGCGCTGGTACATGCAATAACGCATAAAATATCGCTGTTACAAAAAATATTGCTGCCACACAACATATCGCTTTTACAAAAAATATTGCTGTCACTCGAAATATTACTAGAACATAAAATATCACAAACACACGAAATACCGCATAAAATATTACTAGTACCTACATAGAATATCATAACCACCAAAATACTGCATGGAATATCACTGGTACATGAAATATCTCTGGCACACGAACTATCGTTGGGATGCGAAATATTAATGGCACGTGACATATTTCTGAAAAAACTCGGCGTGCGAAATATCGTTTGTAGATAGAATATCACTAGCACAATAACATATCCGTGAGACAACATATCACGGCCACATAAAATATCGATGGCTATTAGAATAATTTTTATATTGTTTTGTGTGAGTGTCAGATTTTCTCTTGAATTTAAAAAGGGCGTGAAGGGCGGGTGACAGACGGGTGGCTGATAGGAGGGTGACAGGTGGGTGATAGGTGGGTGAGGCATGGGTAACAGACAGGTGAAGGGTGGGTGGCAGGGGGGTGACAGGGGGTGATAGGTGGGTGAGGGATAGGTAACAGGAAGGTGAAGGGTGGGTGGCAGGGGGGTGATAGGTGGGTGATAGGTGAGTGAGGGATAGGTAACAGGCAGGTGAAGGGCGAGTATCAAGTGGGTGATAGGTGGGTGGCAGGTGGGTGGCAGGTGGGTGACAAGTGATTTGCAGGCAGGTGATGGGTAGGTGACGGGAAGGTCACAGGTTGGTAATATGTTGGTGACGGATTGGTGACAGGTAGGGGACGGGTGTGTGACAGGTGGGTGGCAGGCAGGTGACAGATTGGTGACAGGCAGGTGACACAGGTAAGGTGACAGCGCACCTGTATCTCGGTGCGTCCCTGACTCTGTCCCTCGACGTATCCATCTCGCAGCGCGGCAATGCGGCTGTCGGACACACGCAGGAGGTCCTTCACCAGGTGCGTGACGAGGAACTGTGTCTTCCTACCCAGCAGGTAGATGTTCTTCTCACTATCATCCTTTGCTACAAACCTAAGAGTAAACACAAGAACCTAGTATGAACAAACATACGAACCTATGTATGAACAACCACACGAATCTACACGTGAACATGCGAACCTATGTATGAACACACGAGCCAACGCGTGAGCACACACACCTACGCGTGAAGACGCGAGCCACGCGTGTACGTGAGCGTGCGTGCGTGCGTGCGGGCGTGCGGGCGTGCGGGCGTGCGTGCGTGCGTGCGACCGTGTGTGCGCGCGCGCGTGCGTGCGTGCGTGCGTACCTGGCGTAGACGCTGTACGTAGACTGCTGATAGCGCAGGTGACATGAGGTATCGTCATCATCGGCGTCGGTTCCGGCAGCCAGAACGTTACTGTTGTCTTCGAAAACGTCGTATCCCACAGTATCTCTCCTGAAACAATGTAGACACAGCGTAACTAAAGGGGAGGTCGTGAGATTGTGTGTAGCACATCGTAACCCACGATGTAGAGAGCGGTTATGTGTGAGTAACTTTAAGGGAGGTGATGGGGATGTATGGTATAACTCGTAAGAAACTTCCTTATCTCTCCTTCCAGTACTTCCACTATGTATGTAGAGAGATAAGGAGAGTGAGAGACAGAAAAAAAACAGAGAGAACGGGAGAAACAAAGAGAAGAGAGAACGGGAGAAATATAGAGATAGAGATAGGGATAGAAAAAGATTAAGAGAGAGAGAAAGAGCGCGCGCGACAGAAAGAGAGAGAGAGAGACAGAGAGAAAGAAAGACAGACTGACAAACAGACAGAGAGAGAGAGAGAGAGAAGAGAGACAGAGAGAGAGAGAGAGAGAGAGAGACAGCGAGAGAGAGAGAGAGAGAGAAAGAGAGC